AATAACAATTCTTTATTACATCCCATTTACTTCTAATGTGCTTCGTACCATTTGTCAAAAGATCAATTTTTCACTAATGATTGTTATAATTTGTCGAACACAATGCCATCTATGAATTACATGTCCTTCAAAAATTGCAGTTTAATTTATAGCTCTACTGAGAAGGTATAAGTGCAACCACTTAATATACGTACATACTTCTCTGATAGTTTAAGTATCCGGTTTTTTCTTTCGTGAGTATTACATGCAAAACAAAATCTTTTCAATTAAGAATGAAATATTAAGCTTTAAATTAGTACAGTCTATAATACCAATTTAGCATGAATATGTTACACAAGAAATAAACAACAATTTGATCCACTTGAGCGCTTAAGCTTTAGTTCAAAATAGTATTGAAAGAACAGGATTCTGATATATAATACGGTTCTACAGATATTCTTACCAAAGTTGATGTGGAAGATCATTCATTTTGCGCGTAGTCGTCAGAGAAGGCACTTACGTGCCAAAATTTCTTGCAGTATTATGAAAAAGTAAAGGAGCATTTTAATTTCATTACCGTTCTCATAGAACTAATACGTGACAATAAAAGTCTTATAGAATGAAGAATTATCCTACTGGATCTCATCATGGTATACAATACGTATTAGAGGAAAAGGGCAATGATGCACAAATAACGCACAGCATTTAATATCCTGTAAGCATTAAAACCGGTATCAGATCTACAAGCTACATTCAACATCTCATTGAAAGAAATATTTCTCAGAAATTTTATTTTCGGGATAGCCGCCGAGATGGGAAAGTGGTTAGTGACGCTGTCGTAACAAAGGGCCCAAGCTTGAATCGCGGAGAAGGTATGGATGTAAATTTTCTGTCTCTTCATAGGCGCTTCCGGGGGGGTTGACTCAGGCGAACGCCTGGATAGTAATGGTTAGGATCTGCGCCTAGGCAGTCTCAACCACGGGGTATATAATTTGGCTTCACTGGACTAGAATCGAGTATTGTACTCAGTTTGTTCAGGCTTGGCAGGTACCGTACTGGTACTGTTGTATCTGTTCCTTCGGCTGGGGTGGAACTAGATAGGAGATCGTCGGCCGAGTTCGCGGGGATTTGACCCCATTCAGTTCTCGTGGCAAGGGCTGACAGAGTGGACAGAGCTACCACAATAATATAGTTTTGCCGATGCCGTGGTGCCCGGAGGCAAGGTGACAGAGTTTCAACATAGCAACGTTTTAGTTCTGCCCAATGCTTTGTAAAAGCCAGACGGAGGTTGCACCCGCGAAGATGAGGTCTCACGGACTATGGATATCAGAACTCTGTATGGGTCCTCTAGAATATGGACCTGGGTCGGAGGTCTATGGTCTGGTGTGTCTGTCTCTTCATAGAATTCAACAGTCGTCCACATATTAGGTGCCTCTATAACAAAGCGACCACCGCTTCCATCCGTAGCAGTGGCCAACTCCTGTAATGGATGTAGCCCCTATTTGAAATAAAAGTTATCTTCGGAATATCTAATTGGTTGACTTATGCCAAAACCAGTTCTTTAAAAAAATCGCAGGAGAGACAATGTTTCAAACGAAACATTTTTAGTTCAAATTCAGAACGTCTCGCGTGGCTAGGCGAGATACAACGTTCAACAAGGCATGTTTCAGTTAGGACCCGTCCAGTGGTAGGCGACGGACAAGCTCTTCCTCGGAAAAGCTTCTTTTAGCCTCATGCGTCGTTAGATGTGATAACTCCATAAGGAACCAGAGGCCAGAGAAGAAACCTTGTCCAGCAATTTTTACAGTGGATCGCGAGGTTGGAGAAATGTATACATATAATTAACCCAGAGAAATTTAACCCGCGAGCACACGCACCGATCCGACGAACACGAGAACACGCGCCGGGTATGTTATACCCGAATAAAAAAATTGTAATTAAAAATTTGTCAAAAAAATTAATCGTTTTTTAAAAGAAATTAAATGTAAAACCAAATTACTACTTCATTTTAGACAAAATAGGAAACAATAAGGAGAGGAAAAATTATTTACTTACTTCTTGAACATTGTTTACAAAATGAGGTCATATGTTCCATACATATACTTTTGCTACAATTTTCACAAATGAATCTAGTCTTTCTATCTTTTTTCTTGGGGCACTCTGTACACCTCTTGTAAGTCATTTTAGGTTTTTTGGGGGACAGTTCATTGTTAACATGTTCATCGGTGGTCAGTGTTTGTCCAGAATCAGGAACCACAGATGCTCGCCGTCGTTCATTTTGAACATTTTCTATTAGCTGCATCCCTAAGGCTTTGAGAAAAGTACTCATCCCGTTCACGAGTGAAATTTTCTCGTATTGAATCAATATAAATATTTGTATTGTCAACTACATGTTTTAACATATCTTCATCGATAAGCAATGACAAGGAATCTAAAGGTGTTGAGAAGTCTTTAGAATACTTTGTATTTCCAGGGAGTTTAGTTATAATATTTTTGGCGCCAATTCTAACATTAGTCCGGAATTTATTTTTGTTCCATTTTTTCCAACATAAAAACTCATTGCTACATTCTAGAGTTTCATTTTCTGTTTCTGTATCTGAATCACTACTCTCTATGGGTGAATCATGATTACTATTATATTCTTCGTCATCAACATCTTCCTCTTCTTCACTAAATGAATCCTCATCAGAAGAAACTGTTTCAAGGAGATTTCTCAATCTTTTCATCTCTTCATCGTAAGGAATATACGGCGCCATGCTCACAACTCAAGAAAAACCTATACTAAAAGCTTGAAAACTTGAAAACGAGAAGTGCGAAATGATTCACTGAGAAACTCGAGTACACGCACGGGTATGATATGCCCGAACAATGCTGTTCCTAAAAAACCGTTGCACTTGCCACCTCAGGAATTTCCCCCATTTAAGTATGTGACCTTGAACTCAGCTACACCAAGTTTCGACCTTTTATGAAATAATGGGCGAGAAATATACAAAAAGAAAAATGCACATGGGTATGACATACCCGCCGCGTGTGCTCGCGGGTTAAGGAAGTAAATGAGGTGGTAAATGAAGGTAGGATAAAACATTATGAAGTTATCCTTGTTTGTGATGTTATCCTTTGTTCCATCTTGTTGTGATAATCTTGAATTAAGACTGGTTATTTCAGCTGTTTTGAAATTAGAAATACACAGCGAAAGACATGATAGCCCGATTTCGGTACCCATAGGTGCGCAAAAAATAATTCAGAAAGTTTATAATAAATTACAGCGTGAGTATGTCCAGAACTGTGTTACGTGTCAGAAGTGTATAAGTACTTAAAATTTCCGCCGACCAGTTAATAAATCACGTCTTTTGTTAGCAATCAAGTATTATTTTTCAAATGGTGTGATTTAATAACACTACGTCGTAGGTAGGCTAATACAGTTTTAAAAAGATGAATTTATTTTTCGAGTACCAATTTTAGATAATTTATGCCAATTAGCCAGTGATGTGTTTCAGAAGCTGTGACCAGCTTTAGTCAAATATCGCTAAGCGCGTGAAAAATAATGATAAATATATATAATCGATTTTTTATATTCATGAACAAGAGACAAAAATTTAACAAAGAGATGTTTAGAAGCTAATTTATGAGACACTAAAATCTTTGGAAAATAAAAGAATAAGGCGAAATCTATATTACGATAAAAGGCATAGATAGGCTTTTCTAAAAATTGGAGATAATGAGTTAAAAATAAAATATACACTTTCGTTGGCAAAGATCAAGAAACAAGTAAATCTGACCTTACGTTCGAAGGTCCGTATGTAATCGTGAATACAAGGAAAATATAGCGTAATTGCCGAAAAAAATGGCTTAGGCAATTTCCACAAATGTTGACCAGTTGATGGCATTCTGTGATAGAAGTGATATCATTCTTTTGAAGGAAAGGGGTGTACATGCAGAAGGAACGCCTGAAAGGTAAGGCCTCAGGTTATAAGGTATTTTCCCCCCACATTCTTAGCGTGCCTTCGTGGTATAGCGGTCTGCATGCTGGGCGCGTATTCCAGAGATTCGTGTTTCGATTCTCGGAGAAGGCGTTGCACATTTTTCATCTTTCCTGCATCCAAAATACCTAATGTCTCTGCAAGGTTTGAAGGAATGTTCAGAAATTTGAGGAAGAGAAGTCATCCTTAGCGTACTCACTAGATCAACATACGAGCCCAGTGTACTTTGTGGATAACCAGACCATAGGTGAAGCGTAATCAGGCCGATAAGGAGGTGGAGGAGCCTAGGCCGAAAATAATTTGCTTACCATCGCGAGATCATCGTATTAAAATACGCAGATCTCCATTATCGAAGACTGTGTATTCTCTGGAGTGCGTAGACACCGACAGATCAGCTTTCACTGCTGATGATCCCGTCAAGAGCTATTTGAAGACCAATATAATTCCGAAATGGTGCCGGAGGAGAATGCGTGAGTGCAACGGAAATGGAAGAAAAAGGATAAGCTAAATCAGTTCTAAATATCTGATTAACTGTAAACGTATAAGGTTATAAATGGCCTTTGATTCTGAAACTACGTATGGAAGTTGCCAGGAGGAAGCAAAACTTTCCATGGTAATTCAGCGCAGGAGAGAAAGCCGAAGCTCTCATACACAGCTATACGTAACTTTTCTAATTTGAATTTTTTACGCTGCAGTGCAGACAGTATCATACCATGTTAGAGACATGGAATAAGATTATTCATCAATTTCATTTAAAAAATCGCATTTCGTCATAAATATGTTTTCTGTTTTTCTAAATAACTCTACGTTCGCTTATTGGAAAAGCATTTTCACATTGCATGAAGTAAGACCTACCACCTGCATTAAAGCTGTATTTCTTTTCCCGCAAATTGCTCATTAAATATATAATTGCATTTACTTTTTTTTCTATTGTTGCCTCTCTCTTAAAGCTTATTTTTTATTTATAATTGTCTTTTAATTACTATAATAATAGTGAATTCATGAAATAGAAGAAAATTCAATTTTTGTTTGAAGCCTTACCTCCGTAGGATAGTAGTTCAAGCATTCATTATAATTGGTCCAATTTCCCCATAACCAGTCTCCAGTTCCATTGCAGATTCTGAAAGCTTTTGCCTCTAGAGAATAAGAAAAATTGCAAATTAATGTCCCTACACAAGTTATTTCAAATTATGCATTATATTCCTTAGACAGATAATTTTTTAAAACTTAAGTTAATCTAATTTTACAAAACGAATAAATTAACTCACTGCTCCATGCTACTTGTCACATTTCACTTTGAATTCAAAAATTAGGGAATTAATTCAAAAAATTAGGAACAAATGAAATAAAAAAAGGCTACTGAAAAAAGGCTAAACTGAAACAAAATTCCTCATACATTAAGTAATGATTAATAAATAACAGTTGATAAGTCCTTGGTTTTTGTCAAAAAGCAGCGAAATAATTATCAACGCAGCGATGTTTCTGAATTATGCCTGAGTGCATTGCAAAAATATAGTCAAAGAAACTCTTTACTAAATTTAAATTCAAAATAATTGAGAATATAATGATGCAAAACTTAATGCATTTCAGAATCATAAAATATATTAAAAGGCCATTATCAAGATATAATTTCTTCCGTTGTCGCAATTCGAATGAAAGTGTGTATGTAATTAACAATAATAAAAATAAATGAAAATTTAAAAAGAACAATACTTTTTAAAAAGTTCGATTTTTCTTTAGAATTATAACTTAGAATTTTTAAGTGGTAGAAAAAACAAGTTACTAAGAATGAAACAATTCTAAAAGCAAAATTAAGGAGAAAGCAAAATTTCCTAGGATTTGCAAATATAGAAACCTAAAAATGTTTAAAATGAAATGCAATATAATTTTTAAATTAAAGAAAGAAAATAGCCAATACGAAAAACCAAAATAGGAGAACGACATATTACATTAAATTTCGAAGTGCAAAATAAGCAATATTACTAATCGCAAAGGGGTACAGCCTCTATTATTAATTCTACATGGAAAGAAAACTAAAAAAAAAAAAAATACCCTAAAAAGGGTACTTACTGTTTTTAACGTTTCTAAAGTTAGAGGGGCTCGGTACCTTTGAATGATTTTTTTATTTAAGAACTTTTGTCTACTTTTTATGAGTATTATTAAATGTTTTTATAAGAGAAAATGGTTTTAAGCTGAAAAATGGTTTTAAGCTGAAAAATGGTTTTTGTTTGTAATTTTTTAATTAATTTTTTATGAAAAATTTAACAATTAAAATGTCTTTCTTCTCATACAATTTTCAATGTTTTCCCCCATTTTTTAAAAATTTTAGTTATTAAAGTCTTTTTAATAACTTTAAGGATTGATTTTGCAATTAATGTATTTTGCAATTAATGTATTTGTTTCTGACAAAAACATTAAAGCTCCTCTTTGTGTAAAATCTTCGAAAAGACATTAAAGCTCCTCTCTACACAATTTTACTTCCAGTATATTTTTCTTTTCAGTATTTTACAAAACCCATCTTTATTTCTTTAAGTATATAACTTTAAACAAACAGTAAAAGTATTAAATAATTCAGTCCACATCAGTATAATTTTTTGGACATATAGTAAAAGGATTTATCGAAAAAACGCCAACTGAGAAAACGCAGTTTAGAAACTGTACAAATAGTCATTAAATCATTTCAAATTTAAGAATTTTATTACAGAATTACAGTACATATATTATATATATATATATATATAATAAAACCTAGCATTATGAATTGATTAATATGAACAAACTACACGCTTTTATTTAAATCTTTATCTGGATAGAAATATGCAAAGAAAGTCATAAAATGAAATAGAATTTTTTTACCTGTTTGTATTTTTTAAAACACGTTGAAAATAGTTTCAATACATGAATTAATTATAATATAGTTTCTAAAATACTTAAAATCAATATTAATATTATTAATTTGTCGTTTTATTCATTTTTTTTTCAAAAAGCAAAATTTCAAATTTGAGCGGGTTTAAAACATTTTATTTAAAACCTCTCAGTAACCTATGTGATTTCTTCTCTTCTTTTAGCACTTTGGTCTTGAATATAAATTGCATTAGAAATTAATTTAGGTGTATTTTAATTAATTAAAGAGTTTAAAGTTTCTTCCAGCATGATTTTCAATAATATTGCAGTCAAGAACTTAATCACTTTCATTACGCCACTTTTTTCTGTTCGTGTCTTATCATAAATGTGTCTTCAGTTTTTCATGAAGCATATCAAAATTGACTGAAAATACACATAAAATATTTGATGAGCTATACATATATGTATATATAAACCTGCCAGTTTAAAAGAGAAAAAAATTCCCAACTTCATTTAGTATTTAAATAAATCAGAACTGAAAAATCGGTAATTTCATTGATTTGGGGTCCTCTTAAATCCCTTAAATCAAGTTCCCTTAAATCGTCGGTAAGAAGAGAAACTCTGCTGACGCCGAAATCAATTGCGAAGTCCTTAAATAAATCTATGGCAACAGTAAGTAAAGTAATGAACCAAGATAAACAACTTAAAAACCTAAAGCACATAATGTTCACCAGCTTTTGCGGAGTGTGGCTCAACGCAGAACAATTTGTAGAATAAAAAGTATTTAGCTGGAAATAAACGGAAGTATTTTGTGACCCTTGAGAAAGCATGGATTTACTAAATGACTACAACACGAAATAATCTATTATCGAAGCCGAGGAGGAAAAAAAATGTACGAATTTGGTTCCGTCAATGTGAAGAATATTTAATTAAAGATATGCAATCTTTGCAGGATTCCCTTACAATGGAAAATTTAAAAAAAAAAGAATAATGGGAAAGAAAATTTAAAACCAACTCAGCATACTATCAAAAGAAAGTTTTACGTCCGATATTTACAGAAGAAATTCCAGCTTTTTCATCTCATGACATTCAAAGAGTGAAACTTCATCGAGGAAAGTACACATGTTTTTTCCAGAAGAGTACACTTGTCAAGTAAAGTACATTTGCTATCTTTCATTGCAGGAGTTATTTCCAGAAAAATCATCTTTTTCGTCCATCCAAAGCATGGAGGTAGGCTTTTCCTTTACGTAATGCTGTTGCAATGCAAAAAGCTCTCAGCCAATGAGGCTAAGGAAGCATTTTATATTTAGTGCTTTGCTGATGCATAGCTACCTTCTTCCTGCTTCGCTTGAAGCTAGGCACGCATACCTTGCTGTTTTATTTCATTAATTGTCTGAATATTCATTGCTAAGGAATACAGAATTGTGGTTTCATTGCTAAGGAATACAGAATTGTGGTTTCATTGCTAAGGAATCCAGAATTGTGCTATGGATATTGCTCTCATAGAGATGATCTGTAATTGAGAAGACTAAATATAAATAATCTGTGTCCTTTTATCTCCAGCCACGTCTGCTAATTTTTTTTCTGCGTTATATTGCATTAATCAGTCGACGAGGGTTTCTCAAATGCGAAATGGGAAATTTATGTCTCAATGGAAAACCTATTCAGCCTGCTCTACAAATCATCGCTTGTATGACAAATTAAAGGCAATGTATGTATAAGAAGTAAAACCAAATTCTACCATTGTTCTACTGCGATGTTTTTAATAGTGTATCATTTAACCCAGGGTTTCTTAAACTGTGGGTCGCGACCCCCAACGGGTTCGCGGGACCTGCAATAGGGGGTCGCCAAAAGTTTAGCAGTTTTGATATTTCTTATTATAATAATTTTACAATTACCAAATATTTTTACACAATATATCTAAAAACCGATAAAGATAAGACAATACAGACAAAGAAAAAAACGAAAATGTGACGACGCATTCGTTTTAAAATAGAAACGTTCATTTGCCTTGCTTTGCACGTGACGCTGTTATTTCGTCTGTTACTTATTTAAAATTTTCACATTGTTCTGTCTTAAAATTAGAAATTAAAGTTAATGACCTAAAACTACAATAGTATATTACAGTAAAAGCTTAAAAATTGACAGTTTTACTCACGCGTGTGTCGAATTTGCGCAATACTTATAAGGTCCCACAAAAGTTTTGAAAATATTATGGGGTCCTGGGGGTCGCGAAAAAATATCAGTGATAATAAGGGGGTCGCGACTGAAAAAAGTTTAAGAAACTCCGATTTAACCTATCAGTTCATACAAAAAAATAATCACGCTTATTGTTTATAAAGTGAATCATCAAACTGGGTTTCGGCGTCAAGAATAAAGTGATTTAACGATGTCTTCAAAAATTCTTTAAAAAAAATTCTTTAAAAATCACCGAACTGCCTGCTTACTCTTCGTTTCCTGCGGATGTTATATAAATAAATTAGTCAAGATCTTTTCAATGGTACAGGATTGAAAATTATGCTTAATGTGCTTTAAATAATTATTTTCACTTCTGTTTTTCTACAATTGAATTTACATTAAAAACTGATATTTTATCTAAAAAATTGGATTTTAAAAATGTAGTATTACTATATGAAAGAGTATTAGAAATTTTATTTGTAATAATTTGATTTAGCAAAGAAAGTAAAGAATTTTAACATTTTTAAATTATGTTTAAGGAATGTTTTTAAGTCAAATAATTATATTTCTGAATTTAGAATGAAAATTTTGAATTATTACTAAGAATTTTTGTAATTATTTTGAGAATGATCTGAACATGAAAAAGAAAAGAAACTATTTTGATAAGGAGGTATAGAATATAGTAAATAATGTTAAAATTGATGCATAATTGTGAGAAAGCTAGAAAAAGCTAGAAACTAGCTAAGATAAACTTTGAAGGCTTCTTACCTTATGAAAAATATTAAATTTTTCATGTATACTTATTATTTGTACTTTATATATAATGGAGTGAGGTTTTACTTTTTTAATATAATGGAATGTTTAACGCTCTTCAAAAAGGTCAGTAGTCTTTATCAATGAAAAGATTTCCTTTATAAATAATTGCCAAGCATCCCTTCAACCATTTGTGAATTAATACATCAGTTAGTTAATGTTGATTTTTCCAAGAAATTATATGTTTATATTTAAGTAAGCTGTGGCATCTTCCAGTTTTGTGTAAAATAAGAAAATTAGAAATGTAATAATAATAATAAAATCCACAATTTCAGGTGCATTTTACCATCATTTATATTTA